GTCATCCTCTACTTTCAATTTTTAAAAAAAGATTTATTGGGGAGACGCCTGGGTGGCTCAGTCAGTTAAGCCACTGCCTTGGGCTTAGGTCATGATCCCAGCGTCCTGGATTGAGTCCCACATCGGGCTCCTTGCTCAGCAGGGAGCTTGCTTTTCTCTCTGCCTGCCACTCTGCCTGCTTATGCTTTCTCTCTGACAAATAAGTAAATAAAATCTTTAAAAAAAAAAAAAAAAGATTTTGGGGGCACCTGGGTGGCTCAGTTGGTTAAGTGTCTGCCTTCGGCTCAGGTCATGATCCCAGCGTCCTAGAATCAAGTCCTGCATCAGGCTCCCTGCTCAGTGGGGAGCCTGCTTCTCTCTCTCCCACTCCCCCTGCTTGTGTTCCCTCTCTCCCTATGTCTCTGTCAAATAAATAAAATCTTTAAAAAATAATAATTTTAAAAGAAATTATAAAGCTTTATTTATTTTAGAGAGCGCACACACGTACCCAAGAGTATTCTTTGAATTTCCTCTGAATTAAATGCCAAAATTTACATAGTAGTCTATCAAAAAACTTACTGTCTAATGATCTTACATTCCACTCCTGGCCCTCATAATAGCTTCCATAAAAATAGCAACAATACTGGGGCGCCTGGGTGGCTCAGTTGTTAAGTGCCTGCCTTCAGCTCAGGTCATGATCCTAGGGTCCTGGGATCAAGCCCTGCATCTGGCTCCCTGTTCAGCGGGAAGCCTGCTTCTCCATCTCCCACTCCCCCTGCTTGTGTTCCCTCTCTCACTGTGTCTCTCTCTGTCAAATAATAAATAAAATCTTAAAAAAAAAAAAAAAAGGAAATGCAATGGTTTCCCACATTTCCAAGGCAATTAAAAAAAAAAAAGCAACAATACTACTATTATCATTATATTATGTAACAGCAGAACATTCTATCTGGAATAATGATTATTACCTCTTCCGCCTCCTCCAAGGCCTTCCCCGGCCACCCTGTCAAAAGTCAGTCCCCACCTTGCCTGCTGTTTGTCCCTGGCTGAGTCTTCGTCACGGCCGGCGCTGGCCTGGATCGGTTGTGCCCTTCTTACGGGGCCTGGACTGGGGGAGGCAAATCAGATAACTTGTGTGGGACTGAATCCTCTCTTTGTTTATGAGTTTAATATATTGGTCATGGTAGAATTTCTTGGGCATGTATTTTGATCTTTAAGATAGGATTTCTTGTGTTAGGTTTTGGGGGGCATCCCCTGAAATTTTGTGTCTGAGGAGATCGCCTCACACCCCACCCACTAGTCGTGGCCCTATTTCTTGGTTCTCTGGTCACTTCAACAGAAGCTCCAAAAGCAGGTTCTTCATCCAGGGGTTCCATGCTCTTGTTGTAAATGAAGGACCATGTGACCCACGGTTTGGCACCTTCCCCAGCAAGCCCGGAGCAGGGGGGAGCTGTCGTTCATCATCCCCTCCCTCTGCCTGCTTCTCTGTCCGGGGCTCAGCACTGGCCATTCTTGGGGCAATGGTGCTGGCCGTTCTAAGGTGGACCGTCAACTTGGGCTAGTGGTCTGTGTTCTCTAGAGACCATCCCCATCCCTGATTCCCTGGGCACCACATGTGTGGTCTCATTTGCCCTCAAAGCAAGGAAGCACATGACAAGAGTGGACAACTGTCCCCATTCCCAGGCCCAGGCCTGAACATATAGTAGATTCTCAATAAACACCTGCCCAACCCAGCATCCTCCTTCCCTTTTCTGCCTCCCACATTCTCCCTCAGAAGCCCTTGTAGTAGTGATGATGAGGTTGAAAACAGCTAATGTTTATTGATGGCTTACTATATATATTGTCTTTGTTTTTAAAATTTTTTAGAAGATTTTATCTATTTATTTGAGAGAGAGCATGAGAGCAGGGTGAGGGGCAGAGGGAGAAACAGACTTCCGGCTGAACAGCGAGCCCAATGCAGGGCTCCATCTCAGAACCCCGGTATCAAGACCTGAGCCAAAGACAGATGCTTAACCAACTGAGCCACCCAGATGCCTCCATATATTGTCTTTAAATATATTGTGTCATTTAAATTTGACCTCACCCCATGAAATAGGTACTAATATTATCCCCATTTTACGGATAAAGAAACTGAGGAATGGAAAGGAAAATCTTTAAAGGACCCTTGCAACAACCTTGAGGCAACAATGAGGCATTGTTAACCTATTTTTAAGGATGAGGAAACCAAGCTTTAGGGAAGTTGAGTTGCTCACCCCGGGCATCCCAGAAGGTCAGGATGTGAACACAGGACCAACTCCAGAGCCTGTGCTCTCTGATCCTACAGCCTTTCTGTCTAAGGATCACAAAGGCAGGAGCTAAAAATGGGGCTGAGCCTGACTCAGGCAATCTCTTAGGACCTCTGCCCGAGGGGCCCATCGCTGGGCAATGAGCTACTACTTTGCACAAGGCAGGAAGGAGTCCCAGGTCTGCAGATACTTCCGGCGAGGTTTCTGCTTCCATGGAGATCAATGCAGGTAAGCACTCCTATCCTCGAGTGGGGAATAGGACTGGGGACACAGGAGGAACCCTCCCTCCATTCACCGTGCATCTTCCCAAAGCCTATTCTCCCCTCTCGGCTCCAAATTCTAGGCTGAGCTAGCTCCGAGCCCTGGGGTGGGGGATGGGGGTGTCCTATCTGTGTCTCTTCACTCTTCTCTTTCCCAATGCAGCTATCAGCACCCTCAGCCCCCTGGCCACCTGGAATGGGGCTGGCACCATTCGGAGCCATGTGTCACCCTGCCAAGACCCTGGCTGGGGCTGACCCGCAGGGGCTCCGAGCCTACCAACCTGCCCTCTGTGGCTATGGGCCGGGACTGGCCCAGGGCCTGCTGGGGCAGGAAGTTTGGCCTGGCAGGGTTGGCCAGCAAGGCCGATGAGGTTGAAGACGGTTCGTGGAAATCCTTCTCATCATCATGTAAGTCACCAGGGGCCCTTCTGGGGGTGGGGGGTGGGATGGGGGGCCCAAGTGGGATCCAAGACCAAGGTTCCTGTGTTATCTCTGAGCAAGGTTTATATTTCTTATATCCCTTTCTCACTTCACGATTCCCAGCTAGAGGGAAACTTTCCTCCAGCTCTGTCTTTATCTGTGTTCAAGAAGCAGAGTATCATGGGGTCTGTGGAGCCAAGCTACCTTAGTTTCTTAGGCCGGCTCTGCCACTTAGCAGCTGTGTGATCTTGGATAAGTCACTTAAGCTCTCTGGACACCCATGTCCTCATCTACAAAAGGACACTGATAACGGTACCTGTCTCACAGGGTTTTATGAAGTGCAGTGAGTTCATAAATGTGATGTACTTAGCTCACAGTACCAGACGCAGAGTAAGCAGTGTGAGTGGTTATTTTTTTAAATTACTGCTCTAATTCAGTGCTGTCCAGCTGATATAGAAGTCACACATATAATTTTTTACCAGCTTTGTTGAGATAAAATTCAGATTCACCAATTTAAAGTATACAATCCAATGTACTATAGTATATTCAGAGTTGTACAAACGTTACCACTATCTAACTTTAGAAGATTTTCATCACCCCAGAAAGAAACCCATTAGCAGTACCTTCCCCTCCCCCCTCCCCCCAGCCACTGGCAAACATGAAACTACTTTCTGTCTCTATGGATCAGCCTGTTCCAGACGTTTCATATAAATGGAGTCACACACCATATGGCCCTTTATGGCTGGCTTCTTTTCCTTGGCATAACATTTTCTAGGTTCATCCATGTTGTAACATAGATCAGTATTTCATTCCTTTTTTTTTTTTTTAAGATTTTATTTATTTATTTGACAGAGAGACCGCATAAGCAGGGGGAGCAGCAGCCAGAGGGAGAAGCAGACTCCCTGCTGAGCAGGGAGCCTGATACGGGGCTTGATCCCAGGACCCTGAGATCATGACCTGAGCCAAAGGCAGCTGCCCAACCGATTGAGCCACCTAGGCACCCCCAGTACTTCATTCCTTTTTATGACCGAATAATCTCCTGCTGTATGAAAATACTGCCTTTTGTCTTTTCTTTTCATCAGTTGATGGACATTTGTTTTGCTTTTTGGCTATTACAAATAATGTTGATATAAGCGTGCATGTATATGTTTTTGTGTGGACATACATGTTTTCGTTTCTCTTTGGTATATACCTAGAAGCAGAATTGCTGGATCGTATAGTAGCTCCATGTTTAGTATTTTGAGGAACTGCCAAACTGTATTCTGAAGTGGTCACAATTCATATATGCAATTTAAATATTTCTAGTAGCCATGTTAAAAAAGTAAAAAGCCGGGGCACCTGGGTGGCTCAGTTGGTTAAGTGTCTGACTCTGAATCTCAGCTCAGGTCTTGATCTCAGGGTCTTGAGTTCAAGCCCTGTGTTGGGCTCCATGCTGGGTGTGGGTGTGGAGCCTCCTTAAAAAAAAAAAAGTAGGGCGTCTGAGTGGCTCAGTGGGTTGAGCTGCTGCATTCGGCTCAGGTCATGATCTCAGGGTCCTGGGATCGAGTCCCGCATCGGGCTCTCTGCTCAGCGAGGAGCCTGCTTCCCTCTCTCTCTCTCTCTCTGCCTGCCTCTCCATCTACTTGTGATCTCTCTGTCAAATAAATAAATAAAATCTTTAAAAAAAAAAAAAGTAAAAAGCAATAGGTGAAGTTTAATTTTCATACTATATTTTATTTAGCCTGATTTATCAAAAAGTATATATCCAATATTATCCCAGCCTATAATCAATATAAAAAGTTATTAATGGAATATTTTAGTCTTTTTTGGTACTCAGCTTCAAAATCTCCTGTGTATTTTACACTTTCGGCACCTCTCCGTTCAGACTAGCTGCCGTTCGGGTGCTCACTAGCCACATGTGGCCAGTGGCTGCTGTTATTGGACGGCATGGTCCTCAATGGTTGTATTAGAGACTTACAATTCTGCCTGGAAAATTCTGAGCTACTTGGGGGCTGGAAGTTGCGTGCCTGTAGAGACTGGTGTGCACCAGATGCTGGGTAGATGTTGCCTGAATGAGTAGATGAATGAATGGATCCAGTTTCCCCCAACAGCTGCTGATGACAAACACAGCTACTCCCAGGAACATCAGACCCCGTCAGATCCAGTCCGGGAGCTCGTGGGCCCACTTCAGAGCTTGGACCAGAAGGTACAGCAGGTAGCGGGGGAGGGCCAGTGGCAGAGGATACCTGGCTGGACCTCTAAGCCACCCAGCCCTGCTGGAGGAGGGGTCCATGGTCCCCGGGGCTGTATTTGGGGCGGCAGTGTGTCTCGGCGGGAAGAGGGGTCTGAATATGGATGTGCTCTGCCCCTGCGTGTGGCTGCAGAGGGAGCAGGACAGTCGGGATATTGTATGTGGCATCTGCATGGACAAGGTGTGGGACAAGCCAGAGGCTGAGCGGATGTTTGGCATCCTGCCCAACTGTAGCCACGCCCACTGCCTGGGCTGCCTGCGCACGTGGAGGAAGAGCCCTCAGAACTTCCCGCTGGACGTCATCAAGTCAGTTTCAGGAAGAGCCGGGAGGCAGGGAGGGAGGGAAACCCTCAGAGAGGTCTGGGTTCGTGACTACTTTCCACCCCTTACCACCCCTATAGGGCCTGTCCCCAGTGCCGGGTCCATTCCAGCTACATCATACCCCACAAATTCTGGGTGAGCAAGGGGGCTGAGAAGGAGCAGCTCATCAGGAACTTCAAGGCTCGGACCAGGTGAGTCTGTCAGGAGGACCATAACTGCTTAGGGGAGAGGGGAAGGCAGCCCCTGCTCCATTCCTGCTCAGCCTTGGTTCCCAGCCAGGGATCCCCCAAATCCTAGAGGTTCAGAGTGATGGAGATGGCAGACGAGGATGTGAGCTCTTTCCGCTATTTCAGAAATTGGCTGAGATGGCAGCAGCAGATCAAGCCCAAGTGTCTCTTCCAGTCTGGCTCAAGGTCAATGCTGGCCAACTCTGGTTTTCTCAGCAAAACGAGAAGCCCTGCTTGGCTCTTACTTCTGATTTTTTTTTTTTGTTGTCGTTCTTTGTTTTTTAAGCAAGAAGGTAGATTGATATGAATACATGTTGTTGCAAAGATGATTTTTGAAAACACGGGGTCTCTGAGAAGACCAAAATGGTCAGCCCTTGGAGCAGGGAAAAGGTGGGTAAGTTTTCATTCATTGGGGAGGGCGGGCATACATCCATATCTGGAATTAGGTACAATTAAAACTTCTTAATGCCGTCTTCCCAAAGGGTTACTTATGCATGACATATGCAAAGTATATTTGGATAAAGGGTGGGATAAAAAAGATCTTGTCTCTACCTGTGAGACATACGACCTCCTTGAGAAGGCACCTGGATTTTGTCTGTGGATTATAACAGCTAGATCAACAAAATGACTGAGACAAAACTCTTGGGTGAATCTCATAGAGGAGGAAATATTTGAGCTGGGTGTTGGAAGAGGTCCTGGGATCGAGCCCCACATTGGGTCCCCTGCTTAGTGGGGTATCTGCTTCTCTCCTTCCCTTTACCCCTCTACCCTTCTTGTGCACGCTCTTCCTCTCACTCAAATAAATCTTAAAAAAAAAAAAAAAAGTGAATATTTTCAGCGTAGGTGGCCACAGAATGGCACTATCACCTGAGTGCAGAGAGAGAGGGGCAGATGGGGGATTTGGACAGGTTGAGAGCGGGGTTTTTGTAGGCTGTCCAGATGGAGGGGGTCCTGTCTGATGCTAGGTTTGGGTAAATAAGAGGAGGAAGAAGAGAAATGCAGGGGGATCCTGCATTCACCCTGGGGCTGCAAGAAGTGGGTAAGACTCAAAGGTGTAGAGCAGGGAGTGATAATGCAGAGAAAAGGCTATTAACAGGCCTCTATCCTTTTCTTTCTCCCTCCCATCCATCCTTCTCGGCAAGAAGGAAGCTGATCCTACATAAGCCGATCACTGGTGGCCCACAAACTTCTCCTGTATTTGATGTTTCGCTCCTTTGGTGGTATTATTGAAACTTTGTTCAAAGAAGGAAAAGAGATTCCCAGGGTCAGTGCTGCCCCCAAATAGACCTTGGGGGACTTATGAGAAAGGCATCCCTTAAGATATTTTACTGCCATCTGCTGGAAAATAGTTGTAATAAATGTAGTAAAATCTATACCCTGACACCAGTGTTGGCTGCCTAAGCGTGGTACCCTTGTGGTATTGTACAACCTACCCAACCTTACATGTTAGCCTTTTTTTTTTTCCCTGGGGCAACAGGGCTTGAAGGCAACAGTCTTCTCTCCTTTTGTCCTCTCCTAGCCAGATCCGGTGCCGATTCTTCATGCAAGGGAATGGCCACTGCCCCTTCAAGTCTGATTGCATTTATCTGCACCAGCTCCCAGATGAAGCCCTGACCTCTGATCCTCCCTGGACTGAGAGTATGCAGCTGATCTTGGGAGTGAGGTGGTAACAGCAGGGATATGGGACAGGGAGGCTGCTGGTCATGTTTACAATAAATGTCTGCGATAAATGTAAAAGCCATACATCATGTCCATAATGATAAAGGCACCTGCCGGGATGCAGCATCTTTGTACTATGTACAACCTGCCCGATCTTACATGTCAGCCTTGACTCCCTTGTTCCTGGGGCAGTGGGGTTGAAGCTGATGGGTTTTCACTAATTTCTTTCTCTATTCCCAGGTGCTGGGCCCAGCAGGGTTCCCGGGGGGCACCGAGCAGGAAGACGAAGTGTTATTCATGGACTGTGCCTTGGCCATGGCCTTCTGGGGTTCAGAACTCTTACTGGATTCTGATGATTCCTACCTCGGCATTCTGTAACCAGGATCAACATGTGGGGGATGGGGCTGAGGGGCAGGGATTGCTAGGTGGTAGGTCTTTTCCCTCTCAGGGCTTGGTGGGGGCTGAAAGGAGCAAACCCTCCGTGCCCATGGAGCGCAGCACCAGCACAGCTGGGGAGCAAGGGAAGAGGTGGAGGGCTCTCGCAAAGACAAAGGGTTCACTCTCTTGCCAGGGACTTGGTTTTTAACTTTGCTCTTTTGTAAGATTCTGAAAGAAAACCAATAAAATGCATCTAAGCCATCATTGCTGGTATCTAAAGAGTGCTCATAGCCCAGATGCCCTCCCCCTGAACCAAGCATTGTTTCCGCCTTCATTCTGTTGCAGTATCACCTGTCACTTGACCTTTGCAAAGCTTCACTTTATGCTCCTAAGAGTAGGAGGGTGGAGAGGGCAAATAACATCTTAGTATTAGGAAAATAGTAATGACCTCATGGATCCCATGAAAGGGCCTCCAGGGTTCTTGAACCACTCTTAGAGCTTTCCTTCCTGTTCTCCTTCCCATTGGCTAGAATGCCAACCTTAGTGGGCATAAGCCAGAGCCACCATCACAGCGTAAAGCTGAGAATGGAGAACTGGCAAGGCATTGAAGTTTATTTAGCATTCCTGACCCTACCCACTACTTGTCAGGGTCTGTCCTCCACTGTCCCCAAATAGCTGGTCATTTGAAGACCAAAGACCTTTTCTATGAAGTTAGAACAGCCAACCTGAGATAGAGGTGTTGGCAAAAAACTTTTTTCCTGCTATTTAAGCCTTTGCAAAGCAGTCACTCTCTAGGAAATACTCCTTAGTCTTTCTCAACACCTCCCTTGAAATTGTTTTGGGGGAAAAAAATGGCTTCAGTGGAAATCAGATCCAGCTCAAAATATTCCTATGGCTTACCCTACCGTTCAGGGGCACCTGGCTGGCTCAGTCCCTAAACCATGTAACTCTTGGTCTTATGGTCATGAGTTCAAGTCCCACGTTGGGTATAGAGATTACTTAAAAACAAGATATTCCTATGGCTTACCATACTATTTAGAGTGAAAAACAAAGTCCTCTTTATGACCCCAAGGCCTCACAAGATCTAGCCCAGTTACCTTTCTGATCTCTTCTCTGATTACACTCTAGCAAGTACATTCTGCTCCAGCCACACACTATGTCTTGGGGCCTTTGCATGTGCTGTCCCCTCCGCCTGAAATGGCCTTTCCACAGATCTCTATCTGAATTGCTCCCTTATCTTCTTCAGGTTCATCTTGCCTGACTACCTACTTAAGATTACCTCACCCTATCTCCCTTCCCAGCTATATTCGTCTTGAAAGCACTAATCACAATCAAACATTCTTTTATTTCCTTAGTAGTTGTCTCTCCTCTCTAGAGTGTCAGCGACAATGTGGAGGGTCTTTGCTTTGTTCACTGAATCCCCAGCCCTAGGTGCTCAGTCAAGGTTTATTGAATGAATGGATGTGTGTGGCTGCAGAAGCTGAGAGAACGGTAACTAGGAACTGGAATCCAGAGTAAGGTTTACCGGTGCTGCGGGGGCTCTTCTCCCCTCTCTATTTTTTTTTTTTAAGATTTTATTTGTTTGAGGGAGAGACAGAGAGCCCAGCAAGGGGAGAGGTAGAGGGAGAGGGAGAAGCAGATATCCTGCTGAGATATCTACCCCCCCATGTGGGGCTCAATCCCAGGACCCTGAGATCATGACCTGAGCTGAAGGCAGGTGCGTAACCATTTGAGCCACCCAGGCACCCCATCCCCTCTCTATTTTTATCCTCTGCAGTGATTCCTCCTCCTTCCCCTCCACTTTCCTGGAAACCCGCCTTCTCCAGCAGCTTTCCTTATACTGAAACCTTGGGAGGTGGAGCCCCTCGTGGCCCCTGATAAAAAACCGGAGCAAGCCGGCTTCCTGGACCTCCGGAGGAAGTTCACAGCAAGGCCTTTGGCCATGTAGGTAGTGTTGGGTTTTACTACCACCCCATTCTCAGGGGTAGTTGTGTATCAAATATTTCTGGAGAGGACTGAAACCCTGATGTGATGACAGTTGATGGCCTGTGGAAGAGGTGATGTCAAGGTAGGGTGGCAAACTGATTAAATCCTATCGCAAAGTCCATGACCTACATACAAAATGGACATCAAGAAAAATTAAACGATGCCTGGGTCCTGAAGAACAACAGGATCGCTGACATACATTCTGCATCCACTTCTCATTCCCCTACAGAGACCAGTGCAGGAAGGTAGATGAGGGTCAGCAGACAACGACCCAACGCCCCTCGAAGCCCCGCCCCACTCCGCTACCTCTGGCATGACCCCGCCCACAAGTAACGTCCGTGTTGTGGCCCCGCCCCATCCGTGGAGCTCCCTCGGCCTTCGTCCCGCCCACTTACTCCGTTCCTCAGTCCTTTGGGCCAGGACCATTTATGGCCCCGCCCCTTCCGGCCTGCCCTCTCCCATTCCCGTCCAGCCCCGCCCCTGACCACACCCCCTACGTACGTTTCCAAAGCAGCGCGCGAGTGTTGGCGGGCTCCCGGCAGAGTGGCTCTGAAGCTGGCTCGGAACGCTGAACCCGGCAGGGGCACGTGCGGGAGAAAGGTAGTAGCTGCGCCCGGGCGGGCGCTGGCGTTCTGCCCCCTCTCGCCTGTTCTCGAGACTGAGGTCAGGTACCAGAGCAGCGGCCGGCACAGCCCGGTATCCCTAGGCATGGCGGCCTCGGAGGAGGTGCCCGCTGTGGCTGAGGGCGTGGACTCGGCGCCCTGGGCGCAGCTGGAGGCCCCCGCCCGGTGCCTGTTGCAAGCGCTGCAGTTGGGGCCGGAGGGGGCGTGGCGCGGCCTGGGTATGCTGCGGGCGCTGGGCAGTCGCAGCGCGGAGCCCTTCGACTGGGGCTGCGTCCTGGAGGCGCTGTGCCGGGAGGAGCCCGTCGTGGAGGGTCCGGACTGTCGCCTGGAGCTGTAAGTCGTCTGGTCGCGGGGCGCCGCGTTTCATCCTCCACGTCATGTCATGCAGGGGCTGGCGCCACCCCACTTTTCCAGATGAGACCGAGGCCCGGAGAGGTTCACTAGTTCCCCACAGCCAGGCGTCCCTGCCGCGCACCCCTGCGACATGAAGGAGGGGCATTCAACAGACCTTCACTGAGGACGAGTGGGTGCGACACACGCCTCCTGCCGCGTGTAAATGAGTTAACTAGAAGCCCTGGACGCAGATGGCTTCTGATCTCACATCTCTAAGGAAATCAAACTCATACCTCCCCTGTAGGGATACTTACGTATAACCACGTGTGCACAAGAGTAAAAATATGTGCGTTATAAACTATACAAAAGTAGAAATTTAAAACGTGGTGACCGGACATCTAATGGGCTGGTTTTATAATGTTTTCAAAGCACAGTATACATTTTTAGGGCAAAATCACTTTCCTGATGACTTACGTTCTTTGGAGTGATTTTGATTTTTTTTTTTTTTTTTTTTTTTTTTTTTTTTTTTTTTTGGCCTCTTTATGTGACTGACAATTTCTGCTTGGAGCAGAAGGGTTAGCTCTGCCATTTTCTTATTTGATGGGCTTCCGTTACTGGTATTCAGTTTCTTCTCTTTCTCTTTTTTTAAGATTTTATTTACTGGGGTGCCTGTGTGGCTCAATGGGTCAAACCCTCTGCCTTAGGATCGGGTCGTGATCTCAGGGTCCTGAGATCGAGCCCCACATCAGGCTCTCTGCTCAGCGGGAAGCCTGCTTCTTCCTCTCTCTGCCTGTTTCTCTGCCTGCTTGTGATCTTTGTCTGTCAAATAAATAAATAAAATCGTTAAAAAAAATTTTATTTACTTATTCATGAGAGATAGGGGGAGAAGAGAGAGGCAGAGGGAGAAGCAGGATCCCCCAGAGGAGGGAGCCGGGTATGGAACTTGATCCCAGGGATCATGACCTGAGCCCAAGGCAGACGCTTAACCGACTGAGCCATCCAGGCACCCTATGGTATTCAGTCTCTTTTCAGTCATCCTTACAAGCCATGTGTCAATTTAGTGAGGTTGGTTTTGTTAAAGGACATAATACAGTATCCATAAATGCCTTTAATTATGAAATTAAGGAAAAGACACAGAAAGTTAAAAAAAAAAAAAAAGTGAGGTTCCCCCTTCAGCCACCAGGGGGCTAGAGAGGGGGCTTTGCACTTCCAGATACTCCTCCCTTAGAATTAGGCTTGAGACTGGACTATGAAGGGCCATTCCATACATTAAATAGTTGTAATACTTAATTTCGTATGTTTTAGATAAGGAGAAATGGAAATTCTAATATTGTCTTCCCACACCCCACTTTGAATTTCTTTGAAGAAATGGGTTTAGGAGAGGGGCATCTGGGTGGCTCAGTCAGCTGAGCACGGGGCTCTTAATCTCTGCTCAGGTCTTGATCTCAGGGTCCTGGGTTCAAGCCCCACATTGGGCTCCAGGCTGGGTGTAGAACCTTACTTTAAAAAAGAAGGAAAGAAATGGGTCAGGAGAACTTTGCACATCCCCAAATTGGAGGCCATGGAAATGTTTATCTAGCTATCTGGTTTTTTTCATGCCAGAGTAGGAGGGGGACTTAATCTAGGGTCCCTGGTTAGAACTTTATTTCAGTATAATTGGTTTCTTTCATAAGCCCATGTATTTTATCTTACACATTTAACACTTATTCTGATAGGGGTCCATGCACACACAAAAGTTAGAAGTCCTGAAGTAGGGTCTTCCTGCCTCAGCACTTCTCAATATCCTCTACCACAAACTGACCACCTTTTTAACTTTTGCTTTCGTTTTTTTTCTCTCACTTCATGTCTATTGTTCACAAAAAAATAAAAGTCAGATTTTTTTTCTCTTTCACACCTCCCAGGTGCCCCTTGTATTGATGACAAGCAGCCCTTCACAGTCACATAGAGAGGAGCAGAGGAGTGATGACAGATAGGCTCGATGTACCCATGGCTTGTTTGCCACACCAATAAGCCTCAGGTCACAGTCACACAGCATCTGGATTCTTGCGTTGACAACATGGCAGATGGCTACCTTTGCTTTCTCCATGGTAGCCCAGGCTCATCTCCGGGCGCATATTCTCAGAGAATTAATTCACTCAGTAAATGTGTTCCCGGTACCTGCGATGGGCTGATGCTGTGCTGGGTACTGGAACGTGGGAGAAGAAGAGACTGCCTCTGCCTCTTAGCAATTCAGTTGGGTGAAAGGAACGTCAAAGCGAGACGACTGTGACCTTGTAAGTTCCAGGGGATAGCCAAGGCGAGCATAGGGCTGTATGGGAAGCACTGTACAGCATCCTAGAGTATTACTACTACTACTACTATTATTATTATTATTTTGGGTCTCGGCCCATCCTGTAGAATTTTTTTTAGTTTAATTTATTTATCTTTTTTTTTTTTTTAAGATTTTATTTATTTATTTGTTAGAGAGAGAGAGACAACCAGAGAGGGAACACAAGCAGGGGGAGTGGGAGAGGGAGAAGCAGGCTTCCCTCTGAGCAGGGAGCCAGATGCAGGGCTCAATCCCAGGACCCCAGGATCATGACCTGAGCTGAAAGCAGACACTTAATGACTGAACCACCCAGGCACCCCTAATTTATCTTTTTAAGTAAGCTCTACACCCAGTGTGGGGCTTGAACTCAGGACCCTGAGATCACAAGACACACCCTCTAGGGGGCACCTGCCTGGCTCGGTCAGTGGAGCATGTGACTCGGGATCTTGGGGTGGTGAGTTTATTTATTTATTTACTTTATTTATTTATTTTAAGTAAATAAATCAGTCTTTAAAAAAAAAAATAGAAGAAGTCATATGCTCTACTGACCAGCCAGCCAGGGGCCCCTGGAGTATATATTTTTATATAAAGTTTGGAAAGGGATTTTTTTTTTTTTTAACATAAAACAAGCATGGATCTTTTATAGGATAGATTTTTTTTTTTAAGATTTTATTTATTTATTTGACAGAGATCACAAGTAGGCAGAGAGGCAGGCAGAGAGAGAGAGGAGGAAGCAGGCTCCCCGCTGAGCAGAGAGCCCAATTCGGGGCTCTATCCCAGGACCCTGGGATCATGACCTGAGCCGAAGGCAGAGGCTTTAACCCACTGAGCCACCCAGGCGCCCCTATAGGATAGATTTCAATGTGAATTTTTTGAGCCGAAATAGGAGGTGTCAAAGAGCAGAGCCTAGCACAGAATACATGAATACATGCTCAATTAAAAAAAGAAAAAGAAATTGTTTAAAAAAAAAGATGGAATTGCTCCGAGATTTTTTTGTTTTTTTAGCAATCGTAAAATGAACTCAAACTGGCTTCACCACAACAAAAAACTACATGCTCAGTGAAGGTCTGTTGAATGGCATTCATGCTGACCACCTCCATCCTATTGGTACTACCTCCTAGTGCCTGTCTGTCCATGGCCATCCAACCTCTAGCTCTATCCCAGCTGCCCTCTGCTCCTCCCAGCAAGGTGCTCTTGAACTGCTTGTCCTCCTTCTGCTACCAGGAAACCCCTGCTGCTGCGATTGCCTCCGTTATGCCAGAGGAACCTGATGTCCCTACTGATGGCTCTTGGGCCATCGCTGCCCGAGAGCGGCCTACTCCCCGTGCTGCAGATTGCACGACAAGACCAAAGCCCCAACCCCGACGCCTGGCTCCAGGCCCTGGGGGAGTTGCTGCGGAGGGATCTGAACGCTGGGGTAGCGACTGAGGGGACGTCCCCACTGTCTACAGACTACCAGAGACAGCTCCAAGGCCTGTGTAGGCGGCTAGGCCAGGGAGGCAGGAGGCTGAAGTTGGCCCAGGCTCCTGTTCCCGAAGAGGAACAAGAGGAAGGCAAGGAGGACAAGGACTCCCCACGGCCTGGGAAACGAAGAAAGGGGCCAGAGGAAGAGCCTGCCAGTCCTGAAGGCGGACAGGCCCCCAAAAGGTTCCGGCATTTGGAAAGGGAAGAGGAAGGAGGTCAGGAAGAGGAGAGAGGTGAACCTGAGTCTTTGGAGCTCCCGGCAGACGGAGGAGGTGCCTCACCCATGGAGAACCAGCTTGTTGGGGCCGAGCCCAGGGAGGCTGGTCAGAGTCTGGAGGAGGCTAAGGACCTAGCCGAGAGTTTGGAGTTGCCCAAAGCTCTCCAGGTACTAGAATGGGGAGGCTGGGTTTAGGGTGATCCCCCAGGAGTAGGGGGTTTATCCAGGGCCAAAGCTGGTCGGGAGACTATTTCCCAACTGGGATAACTGGAGTCCGCAGAGCAGGGGGTAGGAGCGTAGGGTTAAGGAAACCGTCTCTGCCCTACAGACTCTGAGGAAGGGGTGGGAAGGGAGGTATAGGAGGGCAGAAACCTTTGGCCTTAATGATCGACAACACGAAGTTAAAGCATTGCCACGCAAGAGAAGCTCCAGGGCTATACTATGGAAGGAGTGGAATTGTGCCAGCCTCCCGCCTGTCCTCCCAACCCCAGGCCTAGGTCTGCCCCCCTGAGGACGGGTGCAGAGAGGACAAGTCTAGGCAGCTGCATTTCCATGGGCTTTGTTGCCTTTGAGTACTTAAGCACCTCTCAAGGTTTAGGCTTCGTGTTCTTGACTCCTTGGAATCATCCTTGCCTGCTAGCTCTCACTGATCTGGGGCCTTCTTGGAAGAGGGCTAGGACTGGGCCTAGGGCCACACTGTGCTGGTAGGGACTTGGCAGTGACTGGACTCTCCTCTTCAGGACCAGGTTCCCAGGCTGCAGCAGCTGCTCAAGACCTTTGGGGAGGTAAGTGGCCCCTGCTCACTGTTGCCCCGCCATCCACCTGCCGCCTAGACCTCAGCCCTGCCCAGGGAAGCACAGATTGTTTGGATGGCGGGGGTCGGAGTGGTGGTCGGAGGACAGTCACTGTAGGGGCTTGTCTTGGCCCAAAGACAGATAGGTCATCTAACCCCAGACAAGTCCCTCTCCTCTGGTAGCATCCAGGGTCCTCATCCACCCACTGTGCCAGACAAAGGGGTGGTCTCTGACTCATCATCAACGGCTCTGCCTGCCCTAACATGGGATTTGCCTTTCCAGGGGTTGGAGGGCGCTCCCCCACTTGAGCTACAGCTTCTCCATGAATGTAGTCCCAGCCAGGTGAGTCCCTTAAGACCCTGAGGATACATCCCCTCTCCCCAGCCTTTTTCCATTTAAGTCTGTGTTTGCTTGCCTCATGTGGGAATGGGGGAGGGGATCTTGCTGGGGTTTTTCACCCTGTGTACTTTCTTTTAGCCCTTGGATCCTCACCATGGGGGCAGCTCTCCCAGCCTCATCCTACCTTGGAATATCCTTGCCCTACCCATTCTGCTGCCCTGTTGGCATGAAACAGTCTAGCAGAGGCAGACTGAGTGCGTCTGTGTCCTCCCTCCTACTTGGCAGATGGACCTGCTGTGTGCCCAGCTGCAGCTCCCACAGCTCTCGGACCCAGCTCTCCTGCAGCTCTGCACCTGGCTCCTGTCCCTTTCACCAGATCTTAGCCTTAGCAATGCGACCATTCTGACCAGGAGCCTCTTTCTTAGACGGGTAGGTGTGTTGCCATACACTTGGCATGCTAGGTACTTTGTGGGAGAGAATCTGAACCCTTGGAAGGGTGGTGCTTGAGAAAGGGGGTTTCCAACCTTATAAGGTGTCTGGCCAGTCGAGGCAGTGTGGGGCAAGGGAAGGGCATGGACCTCCAGGCCATCCATCACATGGCATGGACTTCCTCCTTCTTGGGTCCCAGACCCTTCCAGAAGCTGAAGGGGTTTCGGAGCTGGGGAGCTGAGCTTTGTATCTTTTCCAAAGGGTGAATCCCTGTGAGTCTGAGATAAAAGAACTTTTGTTTTTTCTTTGTAACATGTATCACCATTTGAAATACGTGTCTGATAAACATTTATTAAAGGGAAGAAGAAACGAGTGATTAATATTTTCCTCCCCTTTGGCTATAGATTCTCTCCCTGACTTCCTCGGCCTCCCGCCTGCTCATCATGGCCCTGACCTCCTTCTGTGCCAAGTATGCCTATCCTGTCTGCAGAGCCCTTCTTGGCCCGGTGCTCCAGGCCCCAGAAACAGGTAATTGTGGAACCAGCCCCAGGCCTGGTAGCTCTGCCCTCTCGTTTCCCAGCACCCTTCACTTCAGGCGACCCTGGCCATTGTGTATTCAGTCAGTAAAGATACCTTCCTTCCCTGACGATGCCCCCCAATAATGAGCCAGGCATTCTGTTCCATCCTCTCCTGCCCTTTGCCCCCAGACCACCCCCCTCTGCTGTCCCCTACGCAGGCCCAGCTCAAACGGAGTTACTGTGTTGCCTTCTGAAGGATGAGGCCCTGGCACCGGACACGCAGGTTCTGATGCTGGGGTGAGCGTACAGCCCTCCCTGCTGCCCCTACTCTACTCCCTCGCACGGGCCCAGCCCGTTCCTGGCCTCCTGGAGCTGGAGTCAGCTGGGGATTGGGCCCTGGGCCTGAAGCAGGGGCCACAGCACAGCGGATGCCTCTCTTGCTGTGGCCCGAGCCTGGCTTGTGCCTCCCCCGCTCCCACCCCCCTTATGCTTGTGCAAATTGCCATCCTGGGACCCTTCCCAAGCCCTGGGTTCCAGTTCTGGGCCAGGTGCCTTGGAGAACGCAGGGAAGAGGCTGGTGGTCTCCACTGGAGCAGTTCACAGCATAGCTGGAGCCTGGCCTGCAGTTAAGAGTCTGGCTCTGGAGCCAGGTGGACAGGATTTCAAATCTCAGCCTTGCCCTGTGTCGATTCCAGCAGTATCATCTCTCTGAGCCTGTTTCCTCATATGAGAAATGGGGATAATATTTCCCCGGGAGGATTTTTCTAGATGTTAAATTTGGTAATGCACATAGACCACAGCATAGTACTTGGCTCAAGTCAGTGCTCAAAAATTGTTATTAAATTGGTGTTCAATTTGGGTATTAAAACTGGGGAGTCAAGACCCAGACACATAGGGCGCCTGGGTGGGTCAGTTGTTAAGCATCTGCCTTTGGCTCAGGTCATGATCCCAGGGTCCCAGGATTGAGCCCGCATTGGGCTCCCTGCTTGGCAGGAGGCCTGCTTCTCTCTCCCACTCCCCCTGGTTGTGTTCCCTCTCTCACTGTTTCTCTCTCTCTGTCAAAAAAATAAAATCTTAAAAAAAAAAAAAAAAATCCACACACAGAAACAAGTAAGTAGCTTAAGACCCCATGACCCTAATGCGAACTATAAAATGGAGACTCTCACCGGAGAAGGGGAGGGTCTGAAAAGTAACGTCAGCCCCCTCTGATTGAGTCCTTTCTCTGTGCTTTTAGTTCTCTCCATTAGTCCTCACACAGTGCTGTGAGGTGGGTGCTGTGGCCGCCCTAGAGACAGAAAACCTGAAGCTCATGTTCATTATGGGGCGTGGGCCAAAGGTCATACCACCGGCAAGTGATAAACCCTGGGATCAGACTCTAGGCTGTGCATCTGAGAAGCCACACTGCTCCCATGTGACAATGCTCCCTTTCCACACGAACAGGGGATGGCTCCCTAGCCTAGGAGGCACAGCTGGAGTGGCCGTCGCTGCAGGGAAGGCTGCCTTCTGGAAAGCCTCATGGACCTCTCAATGGGCCATGATCCTCTGCCCTGGGTCACCCTCACCTTCTGTCCTCACAATGCGCTCTCCACTCCTGCTATTTTTCAGGGAACCTTGGTACACCTCATGCCAAATCCTTCATGATCCACCGCCCCAGGCGTCTTGGGTCATAGCTTTCCAGCACCAAGTGTGGGCTGGCTACTGGGTGGCTGCCAGCCTTGTGGGGGGGGCCTCTGATGACTTGCTGTGTTGTCTGGGGGAGCCTTGGCTGTCTCCAGGGCCTTGCCCTGCTTTGGGGGTAGGAGCTGTAGATACCCAGACGTGGGCTATTCTCAGTGGGACCTCTGCTTCTTGCAGACAGATCTTGGAGCTGCCCTGGAAAGAGGACACTTTCGTGGTGTTGCAGTCCCTGCTGGAGCGGCAGGTGAGCAGGCTGCCTTAAGGAAGGGTGGATGCGGTAGTGTGGCAGTGCCATCGCTATGTGTGCCGAGTGTGCGGTGGCTAATGGGCCTTGGCCCCCTGGGTTTCTGGTCCCTCCAGGGATGGAGGCAAACAGGACAGCTGCCCTGCAGCAAGCGGGGCCGTGACAGCAGGCGAGTCCTGGAGCTTGAAAGGCTGGTAGCCGAGAGTGGACTACATGGTAGAGCCCAGGCTGTGCCTCTTCCTAGCTGTGTGGCCTTAGGGAGGGACTTTTGGGGGTGTGTGTGTGTGTGAAATTTAACTTAATTTTATTTTATTTATGAAATTTTATTTATTTATTTGAGAGAGAGCAAATGAGTGCAGGAGGGAGAGGGAGAGAAAATCTGAAGCAGACTCCATGCTGAGCATGAAGCCTGACATGGGGCTCGATCCCATAATCCTGGGATTGTGACCTAAGCAGAACCAAGAGTCAGACAGTTAACTGACTGAGCCACCCAGGCACCCTGAATTTAATTTAATTTTTGAATAGGTTATAAATTCATAGGTTCACAATTTTTTTTTTTTAAAGATTTTATTTATTTGAGAGAGAGACAGAGATAGCACAAGCCGGTAGGAGAGGGAGAAGCAGACTCCCCGCTCAGCAGGGAGCCTGATGTGGGGCCCGATCCCAGGACACTGGGATCGTGACCTGAGCTGAAGGCAGACACTTAACCAATGGAAGCAAAGATTTTATTAATTTGAGAGAGAGACAGAGAGTGCATATGTGTGAGTGTGAGGAGGGGCGGAGGAGGAAGGAGAGAGAGAATCCCAAGCAGATTCCCCACTCAGTGCAGAGCCCTACTTGGGCCTCAATCCCATGATCCTGAGATCATGACCTGACCTGAAACCAAGAGGCAGATGATTAACCCACTGAGTCACCCAGGTGCCTCTATGTTCACAAATTTTAAAGCTCAAAAGATAGAGTGAAAAATATTACCCCTGCCATCCAGATTCCCTTCTCCAGGGCTAATCAGTATTAGTAGTTTCAGGGGAACTCTCCCAGAGATGCTTTTATATACAAGGACCCGTGTTTAAGTTGACTTTTTGCCTACTTTTTACATAAATGGCAATACACTGAGCTCAGTGCTCTATCCTTTGCTTTTTTTTTTTAATAAAGATTTTACTTATTTGACAGAGAGAGACACAGTGAGAGAGGGAACACAAGCAGGGGGAGTAGGAGAGGGAGAAGCAGGCTTCCCCATGAGCAGGGTGCTGGACGCAGGGCTTGATCCCAGGACCCTGGGATCATGATCTGAGCCGAAGGCAGACACTTAATCGACTGAGCCACCCAGGCACCCCCGTACATTGCTTTTTTAACTTACAGTATATTTTGGCAGTTTTCCATACCACTACCTAAAGTTCTGCCTCATTTGTTTATAACTTAGATAGCTGACCTAACCTCTTTATGCCTCAGTTTTCCCGTTTACAAAAGGGGAGTGATGATAGTAGGTACTGCCCAAGGCTGGGGCGAGGTGAAAGTAGATAATTGGTAGAAAATGCTCAGAACAGTGCCCGATGCATAACAAGCATTTATTCAGTTATTATGAAGAAGAGCTGATGCTATTATGCTGATGGTACCTTTGGGACTCCTCACTTCTTTATATCTTTGGCCACCAAGCAAGGCTGAGACCTATGCGCCAGGCTTTATGTGCCTTATCTCATTTAATTCTTTTCACTGTCTTTAGCATTAGGTATCATGAGCACCATTTTACAGATGTAGAAACTGAGGCTTTGTTTGGTTATGTGACCTGTCCAGGCTTACTTAGAAAGTGGTAGAGTTTGGAATTGAATCTGGGGCCCTTTCTTATTCTCTTATCCCATCTCCCAATGTGTGCAGGTGGAGATGACCCCTGAGAAGTTCAGTGTGTTGATGGAGAAACTCTGTAAAGAGGGGCCAGCGGCCACCGCATCTGTGGCCTATGCCAAGCTCATGCTGACGGTGATGACCAAGTATCAGGCCAGTGTGAGTATTGGTAGGTCCGCGAGGGTTGATCCTGCTACTGTGAGTGCGCCACAAGCATGTACATCTAGATGTTTGCCGGGGAAGACCCCCTGAGTGTTAGCCAGACCAACTACAAGTTCAAGCCTCAGACTGGGGAATGAGACTGCTTAGGAATTCGCTCATCCAGCCTTCACTGCTGTGGGCCAGATGCTGTATAGTGCACTGGGGAATCAACAGTCCCATCCTTGACTTGACGCTCTCCACCGGTGCCAGTGAGGTGGGAGAGAGGTGGTAACCAATCAGCCTAATTTCTGGAAGGAACCAGGTGAGAGGTGTGTGCGGGGCATTTGGTTGCGGAACAAGAGGAGGCAACTAAGCCTTGTGTTTGGGAGTTAAGACAGGCTTCTCAGCTCTGAAAGGGTGAGTGGTAGCCAAGGCCCAAGACTGAGGAAAGGGCATTTCAGGCCAAGGAAACAGTATAAGTGAGGATCTACAGGTATTAACTGAGGCCTAAAAACATGAGAATGGATGATGGTAGGGGTGAGGTTAGAGGTCAGAGTTTAAACACTGAGCCCTGCTAGGTCTTAGGCACTGTTCAGAGCCCTTTGCCTACGTTAACTTGCTAGTTTATTCCATGTGTTAGACCAATGAGAAGATACTATTATTAGCTCCATTTTATAGATGAGGAAATTGAGACTCAGAGAGGTTAAAGTGACCTGCGCAAGGTCACATGGCCAGGCCATGCTAACATCTATGGAAGACCCTGTAGGGTCTGATGAGGAGCATGGGCTTTATCTTGAAGGTCAGGTGTCCTTGGCTGTTGGCTCTTTGCCTTTTTTGGGGAGTCACAGGCCCATTTGATGATTTGATGAAAGCTGTAGATCCTCCCAGAAAAATGAAAATCTGAACACACATTTATGCACATTTTCAGGAGGCTCCTGGATCCTCTGGAGAGCCTGACGATCCTGGAAGAAGGGCCTCCAATATGAGACATCAGAAGTTACCCCAGGGCCCAGCTGAAGCTGGAGTGATTTGGTCAGATTTGCATTTTGTAAAGGAGTCTCTGGTATCTGTAAGGAGTGGGGATTGGAGAGAAGATACAGGGTAAAGATCTGTCAGGAAGTTTTAGCGACAGGTCATAGAAGAAACAGTATGTCATAGACGGAGTGTGACAGCTACTGTGGAGTATCTCTGACCCTCAGTTTTCTCATCTGTAAAATGGAGGGTTGTGTAGGTTACATGAAGCTAGATTTATAAAGTTGCCACATGGTGAGCACCCAATAATTGTCAACTGTCATTCGTGTGGCTCTCTTCGTAAGTTGTACAGTTAATATCTGACCCAGGTCCACTTGAACCCGAAGACCTTGCATAATCATGGTGAAGTAATGCATTTAGGTATCTCCTTCATTGTCCTTACGTCCTGATTGCTCTCTCCTTCCTAAACAGGACCATGGGCAGAGGGGAAAGGGGAAGGATCAGTTGCTGGAGTCCTGATATGATTCTTCCCTGTCCCCAGATCACTGAGATCCATAGGCTGGGCCTGGCCGCAGTCCTAGAGCTCAACACCACTTTCCTGAGGAAGCCCCTACAGGCCGCCCTGAGACATCTGGCCCCCTGACCATCACTCCTGGAGCCTGAAGGAGACTTCTCCAACTGCCTGAAGTATACTTCTGCTCTCAGCGCCTCACCCTGACTTGTTGCCTGGGGGTAAAGGCAGAGCCTGGCCATGCCAAGGGTCTGCTGCCCCCCTGCTCCAGGATGCAGAGAAAACATCTTGGCCTCCTAGCCAGCAGAGAAGGTCCCAGGCTAAGCAGGCTTGATGAGCTTTATTTCCAAGGGATGCTGACCTTGGGCTCACTCCTTGTCACTTTTGCTTCAGACTGTGGGGATGGGAACTTTCTGAAAGACCTCAGTAGGGTCAAAGCAGACCCGGGTAGATGAATGATGCTTCAGGAGCCCTGAGGTGACCTGTGTCCTTGGCACAAATATCTTGCACTCAAGTGTATGTTATGACCCTCTGTGTTCTGACTTGAATAATAATTTATTAAAAAGTAGGAAGTTTGGGGCTCCTGGTGTCAGTGGGTTAAAGCCTTTGCCTTCAGCTCAGGTCATGATCCCAGAGTCCTGGGATCAAGCCCCACATCGGGCTCTCTGCTCAGCAGGGAGCCCGCTTCCGCCCCCTCCTCTCTGCCTGCCTCTCTGCCTACTTGTGAATCTTAAAAAAAAAAAAAAAAAAAAAAAGTAGGAAGTTTAATGTTTTCTTTGAGGCAGTGTCTGCCTTCTTACGAACTCTGGGTATTTTTTTAAGAACTAACAGACACTGCCATCTCCCACCCTACTCAGTGACAAGGGGCATCTTTTTCCTGGCGAAAGTTTCTGTGAGGGGAAGGTGACAGATCTCAAGTTCATTCATTCACGTTCTGGGCAGTGTTGTGTGAGACCACTCCCCTCAGCCCCATCAAAGCTGTCTGCTGAGTAGGTGACTGTGGCACTGACTACAGGGAGTGGGGCCTGGAAGGTGGGCGAAGCTCTCTGGAGTTGGAGAAGGTTTGTTTGTGGTAAACATTTAACGGGTAGGTGTGATTTAATCAACTATCAAGTACCTTCCCAGCTCTTCCCCACTGCAAGCTTCGAGGGAACGGGAGCAGAACTTTCTGCATCTCTCTTCTCACGGCTTCTCTGAAACCATGAGCCCCAGAGCAAGATGATGAGGGAGAGGTCAGAGTAAAGCCTGCTGTTGAGACACGAAGCAGGTGTGGAGGGCTGGAGGAGGTGGGCAGAAAAGGGTGGAGGGGCAAAAACGCGGGAGCTGCACGCTCTCGGCGGCCATCACGCTGCGGTGCCCAGGACCAGCCTCTTTAAGGGCCTAGTAGTAGATGGCGCAAAGCGGGGTGTTCTGAGCCACGGGGCGCCCAGGACCGCACCTCCTCGCCTTCGAGCCAGTCTAGTTGTGCAGCGCGCGGCAGCGCCCTCTAGCGGCCGCAGACGCGGTGCTTCCCGGGGTTGAGCGCCCGAGCCTAGCTGCGCGGTGGGAGAGGGAGCTACAGGAGTAGGCATCTCGCGAGAACAAGAGCCTTATTTGAGCGCATGCGCCAGTTCCTTACTCTCTTTTCCGGTTACTGCGGCGCGAGAATCATGAGGTGAGTGGTACTTGGGAAGCCATCCACCGTCATCCGCGACTCCTGGCACCGTGGTAGGGAGGGGGACTTGCGGGCTGAATCGGTGGTGGTCGTTGACCCCTGTTTTGCTGAGGGGCATTTCTCGCCGGGCGTCGTCCTGCGCTGCCCGGCGTTCGAGTCCGCCTCCCCGGCGCTTGCATCGTAGTCGCACTCAAAAGGCCTGACGTGATGTCCGGAATGTCCTCGGGGTGCTTCTGAAGACTCGAGGCTTCCGATCACGCCGAAGCTTCCAGGTGCCGATCCGGGCCTTGCAGGTGCTGAGCGCTCGTCTTCTCTCTCGCAGCAGCAAAGTGTCCCGCGACACCCTGTACGAGGCGGTGCGGGAAGTCCTGCACGGGAACCAGCGCAAGCGCCGGAAGTAAGCGGGGCTTGACGGGGAGGGCATCGGCGTGCGAGCCGCGGGCGGCGTCCTCACTCCGTCGCCTTCTCTAAGGTTTTTGGAGACGGTGGAGCTGCAGATCAGCCTGAAGAACTACGACCCTCAGAAGGACAAACGCTTCTCGGGCACCGTCAGGTTGGCACCGCTCTGACCCCACCCAGGCCTCCGTGCCCCGCCGTGCCCCTCGCCACCTTCTAGGCTCCTGTTGAGCTGAAGGCGGGCGGGCGGCCACGGCGGCACGGACGCGCTTGGGTAGTTCAGACACCCTGCCCCGGGCAGGCGTGGCTGGACGGACCCCCACCCTGGGTCTTAAAATAAGAGGGGAGGCGTGGGGAGGCCTTGGCCGAGCCCGCCGGCTAGTTTGAGAAGCCAGACTAGCTGTTGGTGAATGTGGACGTTCTGGGTAAGGTTCCGTGGCTGCCGCGGTCCCAGACCTCTTCACCTGCTTTGGAAACCCAGGCGGGGCTTGACCTGTTCTGTCCCCTAAAACGCAGGCTTAAGTCCACTCCCCGCCCCAAGTTCTCCGTGTGTGTTTTGGGGGACCAGCAGCACTGTGATGAGGCCAAGGCAGTGGATATTCCTCACATGGACATTGAGGCGCTGAAGAAACTCAACAAGAATAAGAAGTTAGTCAAGAAGCTGGGTGAGTGTGGCTTGGGCTGGTTTTGTATTTGGGCAGACTGTTGTCATGGGACTGGTAGAAAAGAGACGTGGCTGCCATTTGGATTTTAAAATGATGGAAGAGGGGGCAAAGAATCACGGAAAAGCTCTGTTGTGGTGAGTTGACTTAAGTGATAGTTTAACCTATATTTGCTTTGAGGATTCTTTATAAAAAAGGTGAGTTCCCCTAAGCTCACCAGTCAGGTGAGTTAGGATTTATGCTTAAAGCTCTTTTATTTCTTTTCTTCTTCTTTACCCGGTGTAAGCATTTCACAGATAGGAAACTGGTACTCTGGTTATCCTGTAACTAGGAAGTAGGCAGGATTTGAGCTCAAGGAGTTTTAACCAGTGTGTGTATTTGCTATTAGAACATGAGAATGGGTCAGCCTGAGCTTCTGACAACAGGTTTCATGTAAATGTTGAGCCAGTAAAAGTCCAAAGGATAGAGATAAGCTGGAATAAGAAAAGGGTTAAAAAGACTTGGTATGTGGGGTGGGGTAGAGTTTGGTGGTGGTTAGAGGCCACTTTTGTGGTTGGTTGACAGCTGTTTGGAGGTTGCCTTCGGGGGCCAGTTCCTAAGCATCCAGTGGCTTCTTTTTACCAGCCAAGAAGTATGATGCCTTTTTGGCTTCAGAATCTCTGATCAAGCAGATCCCACGAATCCTGGGCCCAGGCCTGAATAAGGCTGGCAAGTTTCCTTCCTTGCTGACCCACAATGAGAACATGGTAGCCAAGGTGGATGAAGTGAAGTCCACCATCAAATTCCAGATGAAGAAGGTAAGGAGGTCTGACTACCATGCATAGGTTAAGTCTTGGTGATGGTAGGCACTACCAGTCCTGAAGTTTACCCCCATTCTTTGAATGGGAGCTCTGGTTCACAGAATTTCTGTGGATACTTAGGACATGTGACAGTCCATGAGCAGAATTGAAGCTTTGCACATAGCCCTGGTCTTCTGGCCTGGGGTTGGTCCTGTTCATTAGGGTCACTGGAGTTGGGGGAGGGATGGGTGGAGCCTATAGATGTGCTTTCTCTGGTTCTTTTCCATCTAGTTACCAGCCTGATTTGATTTTACCCTTCCCTCAGGTGCTGTGTCTAGCAGTGGCTGTTGGTCACGTGAAGATGACAGATGATGAGCTCGTGTACAACATCCACTTAGCAGTCAATTTCCTGGTGTCCTTGCTCAAGAAGAACTGGCAGAACGTCCGCGCTTTGTACATCAAGAGCACCATGGGCAAGCCCCAGCGCCTGTACTAAGGCTCAGTTCAATAAATCCTAGTGCTACCCTTACCTGGGCTGCCTGTGACTAGGGAGAGGGAGGTGCTTTGTGAGCTGACATGGGGTACAGTTTCTGGCACCCCCTGGTGGGTGGTCATGTTCTCCATACTGCAAAAAAGGAAGTACATTCTGTCTGCCTTCAAAATCATATAGTCTTATATTTGGATATTTTATAACTTGTAATAGTAGGGCTGCTGAACCTTGAGAAGGGATGATCTGGGCTGACTCCAGTCTGTAGTGCTTCCCCTGTGTACTAGTGGAAGGAGAGGGGTAGGACCTTCACACTGAGGACATGGATTCAGTTCTCAGCAGCATGCTGCTTAACCTGAAGTTGCTTTTCTGTACATCATGCTTTGATTCCATGGGTTTCTTATTGTGTCCCTCTAAGTTGTACATCTTGGTACTTGGTTCTTGGTTCTTGGTAGGGATCACAAAAACTGTTCCAAATGGAGATAGGATTCCTAGATTCTTCATATGGGAGTGGTGCAATTGATTTGTTTGTCTGACCCTAAATTTAAATACTCTATATTCAGGGTAGTGATTTACTCTGAGATGCTTAGGAAGACACAAGTAGTAGACCTGTACAATATTGTAATTGCCCCGTTTCCTTGGCAAGCTTAGCAAATGGGCTGTGGATTCTTCCAGACCCTCTGCTCTCCAAGTAGCCTCCCCACCCTTGACCTGAGGCCCTGCCCTGGTGGAGGTTTTGTGTTTGTTTTTTAAGATTTTGCCTGAGGAAGGAGGAGATGGCAGATTCCCCAGTGGAGGGTGGGGATGGGGGGTGAGGCAAGGTGAGCCACTGCTCAATCCCAGAACCTTGGGATCATGACCTGAGCCAAAGGCAGACTGAGGCATCCGGGCATCTCTTCCTATTGGAGTTCTTGCCTCCTGCACCCAGTACGGGGAGGTGGGTTTTGGTGCAGGAAATACCTGTAACTTAAGTCTGCTTCATTTAACTTTGGTAAAGTAACAAGTTCATCCCTCCATCTTAATACAGCTGAAGGGCTAGTAGCCTGCCCTTGATTATTCTTAATTTTGGCTTAGGTGGGGGGATTGAGCCCTGTAATGGGCACGAAAGATTATCCGTTTGCCTCTCCCATTCACTAAAATGAATGGATAGACGTTTTTAAAAAAATACAGCTGAAAAGCTAATCCAAAGCATAATCAGAATGTACCTCAAAACAAGCTTGAGCCATGAATGATAAGATTTTCACCAAAGATCCTAGTTTTGTTTTTTCTGTTTTAGCTTTTAAGTTCGTAATTTTGCTTAAAGGTAAAATGGGTACAACCTAATCTTGGAATGAACCTTGGATTTGGGTTCTCACGGTTAATAGGTGTAGTTTGCTCCTTCTCTGGTCTGTTACTACAGTATTAGGAGTGATAAAATACCTAGGCTTGTCATACAATGGTCCAGAGGGAGGGGGGGGGAAAGCTGGCAAATGAAACTTAGGACCCAGTTTTATTGGAAGAAACTTTATGCAAAGTAAAAGTGATTGGAAGTTTACATATGTTGGCCATGTTTAA